GAATAAAACTCGAGCCAGGTATACATAAGTGTATAGGTAGGCAGATAGGTAGGTAGAGGGATGTACCTACATAGACTTGTGTAAACTTGACGTCTCCGTGGTTATATGTACGTGTGGGCTCGTCGTAAGTTGGCTACTGCACGCGTAAGTACTCGTAAGTGTGCCCTTGCTGAAATTACATCAAAAAAGTCTCGAGAGTTTGGTGAATTTTTACAAAAACTACATCTGCCGATCGCTTATATACGTGCACTTGACTTTTTTTTGCCGTACCTGCGAGGCAATAGAAATGGATTATGAAACATCAACGATGAGTCGTCCCGGGGAAAACAACAGCAGCAGTTAAAGATAGCGACTATGCGTGCAATGTACAGCGCAGAGAAAAAACACGAGAACGTGATGTACGATCGAGCGAGGTGGATGTTCGGAGCGGAGTGTTATTGTTTTTCCGTACGACCGGACCGAGTCCGAGCTCTTGGGCAAGTAAAGTATATATATTTAGGGGCGGAGCGATATCCGGCCGATTGTTTATTCATCGCTGCTTTTCTCTCGAAGAAAAAAAAAAAGAGAGAGCGCGTGATCCCTATGCGCGATTTCCGTTCCTACGTGTATGTACCGTGGAAGGGGGGGCTTTTGGAGCTGAGAGTCCGATAGCTTTCGCGCGGATGGTGCTCGACGCTGTCATACTGCATGGGTATCCTCGAGTCGCGAGATTTTCCTCGCTTGGGAATAATAATATTGCTGTCGGTACAGTATATAATCGATGCGCTTTTGCCTGGTATGGGTGCTCTGATAATACCAATCGCACGTGTATATAAACTAGCGCATATGATTTTTGTGTGCGTGACGATCCAAAAGTAGAAAAAAAAAAAAAAAAGATTTACTCAGAATCCATTCGAATGATCGAAGATAAGCCAAACATTTTTTTCTTTCCAAGAAATAAAACTGCCGTTTTTTGCAATTGTTGAAAATTCGTTAATAAAGTTTGGTTGCATGCTAGAGGGTGCTTTTATTTTCTAAAGACTCTAATGATACGTATACGGCTCGAGGACTTTTTTTTTTTTTCAATCACAATTCAACGAGAAACCGAAGGAGTGTCATAGAGTGAAAGGGGATATTTTTGGAAAATGGTGTAAAAACGACACGAACGAAACAATGGGACGCCGAATATGCATGTCGCCGAGTTTCATCGAGGCAAGCCGGCCGAGAGGGCACAAGTGGATTTACTTCGAACAAATAAACTCGCGCGGCCTACTCGGATAAATACATTTTAACAGTGGCAAATGTTTGCGAGCGATGATCGAGTCTCGATTACCACGTCACAATCGTACCCGAGAATGCTCGCAAACACCAGCCTGCCGGTGTGATTGAAGTTTGTTATTTACAGGTTTATATATATATACACCCTGCATATACGGACGACTCGATTGTTTCGCAAACCCGATGTAAGCACTCGCCGGCGCCGCCACTGCTTTTTATACTTTTGGACAATCATCCGATGACAATTGTTGGGCACGTCGGGATTTTCCTGCCGCTTCCTTCCGCCACTCGTGCAAATTGATTTTACTTATTCATACGCGCGGAATAACGAGCGCTCCCCCCCCCCTTTTTTTTATTATTATCATCAACGACTCGGCGAGCCGTGGCAATTAATTTTGTTTGCCAAACGCTTCGAATATCCAGCGGAATAATATAATTATGAATCATCCGTCGCTGCGCGCATTTGAATAGCAACTTGGTTATTGCATTGACTTTTCATACACCTTTCGTTTTGATGAATAGTGCACGCGCGAAAATGAACGCGCATATTATATATGCATATAATACCTACCCTCTGTAAAACGAGCGCCTTGCTCATTTCGCTGTTTCAATATACGTTTGACGTACCGCGATTTACGGCCCGTCATTTTATTTATAAGAATAATACGCTACGTACAAACCGTTCGGGTGTTTGATTTTCGCGAAATTTCCCGACTTTTCGGGTGATTCTACGCTAAGTGGGTGGATCCGGAGGAACAAAATAAATTTTCCGGGGATCAAATCATCAATCGTTGATCGATAGAGACAGCGGCACATTTTAATTTTACGCTCGAGCTCTCCTCTGATTTTATCAGTGTTTAATTTAATTTATTGCGTATGATTTTAGCTTGATGAAAATTCATACAGGTTCTTTTTTTTTTTTTTTTTTTTTTTAGAAAAAGCCACCCTGTAATGGTTATATAGTAACTGCAGAATTGAAATAATGTTTTTTTTTAAATGTTGGATGTATCGCGTTGGAGAGCGATTCAAATTTTCCTATATTTTCTTCGTTGATTTCCACATTGGATCCAAACTTTTGTGTCCATCTCTGTGAGTCACTTGCAGGGCCGAAAAAATTGATGAGCACTGCCTGTGTGTGCACCCTCTCTTAATTTTCCAAAATAGGAACTGTCGATCTTTCCATCGGGATGCATTACTCGCCCGACGCTGAAAGCTCTCCCGTGTATTTTCGTGCGCTGCTCTAACGAGATTAACCGGGGGCTCTGCTGATCATTTTTCGAGCTGGAAAAAAGGAACTTTGCACTTGGCGCCACGTTTCGTCTTCTGTTGAGGGAACTCGAGTGAGGTTTGATATTTGCGTCGATTACTTTGTCGCTCGGAGAGCTTTTTTTTTTTTTTTTTTTCCTTCCTTCCTTTCGTTTTCGTTTGGGTATATATATAATATCTTGCGAGCGAGAACGAAAGAGAGTTTTTTTTTTTTTTTTTACGGCACATCGTGTCGCTTTTTTATCTCTCGTATGTTTAACGGTCCATATGAATTTTTCATCCGCTCCGAATCAGAGTCAAGCTGTGTAGGCGCACGGATTGACTTCTCGTAAAATTTTTCATCAAACATCACTTACAGAACGGGAGAAGCAGCGCTAAATTTATCAAACGAAGAGGGATCGATCGGAAACTCGAAACGGAGCTCCAATCTTGTTTCGAGGCACACGCGCGCGAAGGAGAGCCGAAGAAAGCGAGGCGGGGATGACTCGTTTCGCCATCTTCACATTATATACCTACGTAAAGCGAGTTAAAAAGGACCAATGGTAAAACGTGCACAGTTCGAAAGTCGGAGAAGTTATATGGTATATACGTATAGGGTCTAGGGGGGTGGGGGCTAATTTCATACGAGTGTCGGGAGCAATGATTCAAGCGGATGGGGTAAATTATTCACGGGGTGGAAAAAAAAAACAAGGGACCGGCTGCTCGGAAAGGCGCGATCGATCGTTTAACTCCTGCTGCCTCTATCACTGTCTTACATCGCGCTCGAGTTACCGCGACTCCCGTACCCGGGCTGAGCCGCGCAATCTTTTGTTTTTTTATCGCTTCCGATTGGATCGTTTTTATTTCTTCCTCCCTCGGGGAGATTATTATTATTTTTTTTTTTTTTTTAAGAGGAGGAAAAAAATTAAGTCGAAGCGGGTCAATCGGAGGATTTTATTCAGTCCTGCGGAAGAGTGACTCGGGTTTTCGTGCGTATATGTATACCTGCCTGGTTAACGCGCCATAGCAGTGGCAATTCACGCGCCCACGATTTATCTTGGGGGTAATAACGGGAATAAAAGATCAATATCCAACTCTGCGAGATGTTGTTCGGCAAAATGCAGGTCGATGGGGATGATGCTGAGGAGTCTCGGATAACTTTTTGCCGGCTACCGCTTGATATTCTCTCCTCTTTTATTTCTTCCCTTTGGCTGGAAATCAGGTCGAGTGTACCCTCGGATCGAAAAAATTTTTCCGCCACCGGGAAAATCAGCCGAAGCGAAAAATGACCAGACGCGGTTGAAAAAGTTAGCCTCGACGGATGGAGATTTAATTGATTTTGTACCGTCGATGTTGTATTTAGGCCAACGGGATCGTTAAATCAGGCCCCGAGTAGCAGTGAACTCGAGGTCGCGGTGTACGCCCCCATGGGCGATAAAATCAAAGGAAGTGCCCTTATAAATCGCTCGTTGCTGGCGGGGTTTAATGGGGCGCGTCGCCAAAGCCTCTCACTCGAGCGTGCAGAAACAAGACGACGCGGTGTATTATATACATATATATATAAAGATACACCGAGTCCTCCCGGCCGCCCCGAAATTCACCGGTGCGGAGTTTGTCGGGCCGATATCGCGCCCGTAAATAACACCCGCAATTAACAGCTTCGAGAAACTCTCCGGGAACAACGTCGAGGCCGATTTATGTTTTTTAATTAACGCTACCGACCCACCTTATACGTAGTTAAATGGTTTTTCAATTCCAAACGAGCCTCTCTCGTCCGCTTCGAATGAGCACTTGATTAAAGGCTTCGTGGTCCGCACTGTCATCCACTGTACGCCGGCGCGTGCACATATTGTGTGCAAACTATCCACATATCTGTGGGTGCATGGCTACTACAGAGAGAGTCCCCCGAGCGAGCAAGTAGGTACACGCGTAGGTATACTGCTTGTGTGCATGTACGCCGAAGAGAGGCAAGATATGCATACAGACGAGACGACCGGGAGATAGTGACTGCGCGCGAGTTAGGGAGGGCAAATACCCCAGTGGGAGGCTGCAGTTACGATCGAAGTTCCAGCGGAATAATAGCGGACAAACTCACAAGTATATACCTAATATCGTGTCCATATATGGAGGTAAGGAAGGGAAACAAGATTTCGCGCTGTTGTCTTTGCGGCGGTCATTGTCGTACTTATATTATATAGGTGTACATTTGTCGTCGCCATCTGTCTCTCGGATGTAGGTGTACATGTATACACGGGACGTAGGAAAATGATACACAACGAGTGCGGCGCGAATCCGAGTCCTTTCTTCGTTTGGCATCGAATGAAGAAAGTTCGGTACATCCGGCTCGCGCTAAACTTGGCAAGAGCCCGGCTCGCGGAAACGGCTCCCTCGTGCGCTTGCCAAATATTTCAGAGTATACACCACCCACCCACACACATAATATATATTGTAATGCAAGCAAATAAATAAATTGAAGGATGATGGTGTGCATGTCGCAGGTGGCAGGGTCGTCGCATGGGGCTCGTAAGCGGCAGCGAGCGTCGTCAAGGCGGCCGCAGCTCATCCGATGCACGAGACGGGGGAGCGCCACCACCACGTGAGATCGGCCGCGACGGCAAAGGGGGCTAGCTCGAGGATGGCATGCGAGAAGGCCTCGCGCCGGCTACGGGCGACCCTGCTGAAGGCCGAGAGACTGGGGCTCAGCGCCGGCGAGCTGGCCCAATTGTCCGCGGCCAAGAGGATCGTCGCGCAGAGGCAACACGACTGGAGGATGGGCCTCCTGCTGCTGTTGCTCTTCATGTTTGGCGGGGGGCTCATCGTCGCCCTCTTTTGCACGAGGGGCGGGGCCTCCTCTTGCTCCAAGATCGAGGACATTGTGAGTTTTTTCTTATCTTTTTTTTCAGCTTTTATCGCATATATCGAGGCTCGAGGTGATGTCTCCCTCTCCTCCTTCGCTCCTGGGTATAACCCGTAATACCCGCTGCAATAATCCCCCCCCCCTCACGGAAATTGATACAGGAGAGCCGGTGCACGGAAAAACGGAGACGAGCTCAAAGGGGCTCGTGCATGCAGGATGGGTTACGAGCTCCCCGAGCCCCCTTTCGCGTGTCTACAACAGCAGCTAGAGCTTTGGGGAGGATTGGGGGGGGGGTATCAGGGAGAGGATCCGAGAGAACAATTATGCTCACGGCAGGATACGCGGCTCCGCAGATTACGGGAGCTCGAGTAACGTCATGGCCGTAAGAGACGATGGGGGCTCCTCTGTACGTACAGGGGCCAGCTTGAGTTGCGGCGTCCTGTAACCCCCGCCCCATTGAAAACTAGTTTAGGTGGTCCGGCGAGTGCATAGCTCGGCCTAAAATAGCCTTGAGATGCCGGGCATTGATATTCAAATTTTGGTGTATATTCGACGATGAGCGTAGCTTCCTTTTTTTGTACGAACATGATGTTTCGCATCAGTGATCGACACTACCCTAATTTGCTTCAATATAGGACAGCGTAGATCGCTAACTGTATTTGAAAGGGCGGTTCGTCCCGATGCTTTTTAAATGTCGCTGTGTACGTACAACGAAATAATTGGAAGCAAGAATCGACGACTCGTTACTATCGTTGGATACGCGTGTATAATATAATTAAATAACCGCATTCGTATTATGTGCAAGTGCAGCCAGCGGAAGGCAGTGAATTTATTCAGCCGAGCATAAATGTACGGTTCTCGGTTGTTAAATCGATGTTGCACACACGAGCTGTAATCGTAAATAATGAAAATTCATAATGTATTTGTCATGCATGATTGTACAAAAGTGACCCCGTGACTGTTTAGCGATGATTAATTTAAATTGAAAATCAGAGTATACCGGCAGTGCAGTATATGTATTTATTGGGTTTTAGTGAAATACATTTCATCATCGCACACACGGCTACAAACCGTTATAATCTCACGTTTCCTCGATATACCCTTTATTTTTGAACAAAGTGCCATTCATTATAGATAAATTAATCAAGAACAATAGAGTTGGAAGCTTTTCGGAGTAAACCAGTGAATACGCGTTGGGTGTAACAATTGCGGTCCTCGAAATTCTTGAAATAGTACGGGCTGCTCCCGATTAGGCCGATCGCCCCAGCTTCTCCATTAAAAGCTTTGTTCTTGAACTCCAGAGATATAGTATAGTACCTACATACATATATATTGCCTACGACGATAATTAGGAGCCCCACTCGAGTCTTTCTTCCTTAACTGGTAGCGCGAGAGGTGCCGCCGTAAATCTCACGCGCTCCCGGACAAATGGATGCAAAGTGGGCGCTACAAATAAAAAAAAAAAAGCTCTAATCATTTTTCAAGATGTATATATATGACGTATACGTGTATAGGTGCGCCCCAGTTTGGCGGATGATAATTGCCCGCGGCGAAACAGGACAGACTCTCTCTCTCTCTCTCGATCTGCTTTTTCCGTCGGAGCTCCACCCCCTCCTTCCCCGAGTCATTAAGCAAATGGAAGTGGCTGCCGCTGACGCTACTTATACGATGAGCCGAGGGGGAAAAAAGTGTGCATCAGCTGGCCCCCGCGCAAGTAGGGCGATAGGCCAATTTTCAAATGCATTTCCCGAGCGCCTCTTTATCGCGCCCCCTCCCTCGTATACCCGCTAATGCCCGGGAAATCGTCTTTCGTGCCCCAGTGTGCAGTGGCCTGATTAATTGCACGCTGATACGGGACGAGCGATAAATCGGGTCTCCGGGAAAATCACGTTCGTGTATCCGTGGAGGAATTTGCTGACCTATACATCATATTTATACACCCCCCGGGAAAAATTTAATCAATTAACGCATTGGCCCCGTTCTGCCGAACGACTCGACTTTGTTATTCTGCACGCACGTACACGCACTGGTTAATATATATATATATATATATATATATATAAATCGGTCTTTCTTCCACGCTCGCAAGTCATCCAAGCATCATCTCGGGAACTCTCGTTTCTGAAACAAAACAAAAAAACAAAAACAAAAAAAGATCCATCAAGTATTGTTACACCACGAGGTTGCCAACATCGCCCGGTCAAATGCGAGCAAACAACCCCCCGCGTTCGTACGTATATACTTACGTCTCGGGATTTTCGAGTAAACGCAAGTAGGTACTTGTCAATTAACCGGAAGGTGAAATCACGTATTGGAGCTCGCGCGCGTGTTTCCGGTTCTATATGCATCTCATGCGGGCAAATACAAACTCCATCGCGACTCATGTGTGCACAGCCGACTGATAGATAGGTACACCCCATACTGCATCTTCCTCGTGGCGTGTACGTGCACAAGACCCACCCCCCTCTCTCTTCTCGACTCTCGGGTTGAGAGTGGAGGAACGGACGACCGAACCATTAGTGTCCCTCCCGCGACTTCCCAAGAGTGGGTATACAATATAACGAGGCAGCTATACCGCTAATGGACGGAAAAATTAAGATAGCACGAGCTATGTATACCCGGGGCTGGCGGTCTCGCTGTTGCAAAGTTACGGGGGGGGTGTTGTCGCTGGACGCTCTCCTGTACACTATATCTCGGGAAATGTCACGGTCGCGGAGCTGGTGCAAATTCGAGGGCCATAACCCAAGAGAGTTTTCGCTCCGAATGGCCCCGGCGTTTAATGTCTAGTTTCGCCCCTCCCACCGTGCCTTTGTTTCGACTGTTTAGGTACGAATAACCAAGCTCGAGAGTTGGCTGGTGCAGACGTATACTCGCAGAGCAGGAGATGTACTGATTGGTCCATTTTTCAAAATCACGTGGCGCGAGTGCCAAATATTCTCGAGCCGAGGATGATGGAGCAGAAAGGGGGTGGGTAGGGGGGTTCGAGTCCCTTCCGTGCACTAGAACAACGCGGCTTTGTCCTCCGAAACAATAACAAGTCCGGCGAGTGCCGGCGCCCGGCGGCAAGTGCCGGTGAACAAAAAAGAAAAAAGAGGCGGTGAAGTCTCGAGACAATGAGAGTACACACTCTGTCGATTGTTGCTGCTGTTATTGTTGTCGTTGACGAGGAGAGCCGTGTATGGACGGCTTCCGAGAGTTTTCTTATTGCGACCCAAGAGTCTGGATTGCTCTCTTTGTGCATCTCGGCTTCCTCTTTTCCCGCGCGGCGGCGACGATGACGGACAATGACGGAATTGTTTTTTTTTTTTTTTTTTTTTTCATCCCATCCACCCAAAAAGGGGGGATTCTTCGATGGGTTTGCAAAACAAAAGTATACAAAGGGGGAAAACTCTTTCGTAATAATTGCTGTGCTGTGCGCGAACGTGTAGCGTGAAATTACCCGAGAGCCCCGAAAGGGAGGAAGAGTATACATATACGGAGGGAGTAAAAAGCCATACTATGTACCGTGTGCTACACGCGCAGTGTATGTATATATTCTCACGCGGCTATTCATATTTCACTTGCGAATAGAGAGCTCGTGGATTCCAAGCACGCCCCGATGAATCACCGTTATTAGGGAGTGGCCCAGGAGACTCCTTTTCCAACCCCCAACCCCCACTCGGGCGTGTGTGATGCATTCATGGGTGTGTTTTTGGGAGGACGGGGAGACGCGCATCTTCCACCGCACGAGAACGTGGAAAACGTGCGATTGCGGGGCAAGGGGGAAGCTCGTGCGTGCTCCTCTCCAGCGTGTTTACGATTATCATACTCTTGAAATCGGATAAGGAGAGATGGGGCATGGAAGGAGGGGGGGAGTGCTACGGGTTCTGTGAATGTGGGGCAGAGGAGCGACGACACCGCCGAGCGAATGTCAGGCAGGGGGAGCTTCTTCTTTCCTTTCCTTTGATTCGAGCGGTATGGGAAAATCAAGAAAATTCGGTGTAATCTATATATACGCTCTTTGGGGAGAAAACCCGGGAAAACTCCGACACGAGAGATGCATTTTTAAACAGGTGTACTTTTACGACAGCGTCGATCGAGTATTTACGAGTCCCGGGCAATCTGTCGTTTCGATAGCTTGGATATATTTCACACCACACTCTTGTAAACTTATACAAGATATATTTTTTTGTTGTACACGAGAAAAAAAACAATTTTTTCAAAATTACATTTCATCTTGAAGATCCTACAGCGACCGGTACTAGGTACTTTTTTTTTTTTTTTTTTTTCATTGCGTTTCATGAAACATATTTTAACCAGACAACACCCTAGATTCATTTTTTTAAATTTTAGTAACCGATCGTCACTATTAACATTAATTAATATTAATTTTGCCAAAGTGAATTTAATGACGCGCCATGAAACCCATCGGTAATTAAACTACGCACAATAAACCACGCATCGCCTCTATGAAAAAAAAAAAAAATCTGCATAAATTAGGAAAAAAAAGAAAAAACAGTTTAAAAACATCTCGTACAGCAAAAGCCCCAAGTTCTGGACAAACTTGATGCAATTACTTTAATGAGACCTCGCAGCTAGGCCCCTTCCTCGAAGCGCACAAGGGTATGGAAGAGCAGAAGAATTTGCTAGTATTTACCTCGTTGCGTTGGGCCGGAGGTAGTATTACTCCACAGAGGCTGCACCCTGAATGCATAAAAGAAAAGTTTACAGAAGGAGGGAAAAAAGGGCGCGTGAGGGCTCCATACACGGAGAGAAAAGTCCATAGAGCCTAAGCAGACTCGGGGAGTAAAGAAGCCCAGACGGACGCGTCCGTGGGTATACACAAGTAATGGACACTTGTACACGTGCAGGTAGATACGCGTGCAGAGATGTATTATTCCCCGTGCCGTTAATGAGTTTCCTGCATAATGAGACGCGCGTCGGCAATCGAAGTCGTCTAAACGGCTCCCCGTTAATTACGCCTCCGCCGCTCGACGGGCCAACTTTGTACATACGTCAGCTGTCCCTCGCTGGTTCCA